AAAAAAAAAAAAAAAAAGAGAGAGAGAAAGCAAGCTGTAGCTACTATTGAGCACTCCGCGAGGTCGACCGGGGCATATCATTGAACCACGAATGCTTCAATGCACTCGCCGCGCTGATACGCATCTCCGGCCGCAACTGCAACATGCGCCTCAACAAATCGACGCCCAAGTGGTCGATTCGCGAAACAACCTGCCGCAGATCCTGCGTCGCATAAACTGGGAAATCAGGCTTGTACTCCGGGAATTTCGAAATCCCGGGCCAAGAGATCTCGGATGGCGTGCCCATCACCCGGAAGATCTTTAGTAGCTGGTCTTCGTTCGTGGTCCCCGGGAATAGCGGGCGTCCTGTGTACATCTCTGCTAGAATGCAACCGATTGACCAGATGTCGATACTGGTGTTGTAGCTGCGGCTGCCGAGGAGCACGTCCGGCGCGCGATACCAAAGCGTGACGACTTCGTTGGAGAAAGTGTTGACCGGGATACCGAAAGCTCTGGCTAAGCCAAAATCAGCTAATTTTAATTGGCCCTTAGTGTTGATTAGCAGGTTCTGAGGCTTGAGATCGCGATGCAGAATCCGGTTCTCGTGGCAATGCGCGACGCCTCGGAGTAACTGGTAGACAAAGGATTTGATGATATTCGGTTCGAGCTGGCCACGATTGCCGTGGGTATCCATATAACGTTTAAGATCCTTGTCCATGTATTCGAAGACTAACATGAGCTTGTTCTCGGTGTGGACGACATCGTACAGCGACAGAATGTTTTCGTGCTGGAGCTCTTTCATCAGGGAAATCTCGCGAATGGCGGTGGAGGGCGTTCCTTCTTCTGTGTCAAGGTGGATCTCCTTTAAAGCAACCAATTCCCCTGTTTGGTTGTTGCGACCTTTGAATACCTGAGGTAGTTTCTGTCAGTTTGCGGGGACGGACGGTGGTGCAAAATTGCGGAACAAACTGTCGCATATGTTCCTTCCCCCAACTAGAAACCGTTAGCTAATAATTAACCTGTATGGGCGGTGCCACAACTGACCTTCTCTAACTGCTGGAATGAGGCGTGAGGTGCAGAAGCCATTTTGACAGAATGTGGTGTAGCAGGTTATCGCGATCTCGATCGTGTTGAGTGAGGGGTAACAAAAAAGGACGAGGGAAAAGTAATGAGGTAATCCTTGGGAGTCCATCTTAATTAAACATTATCAGCGAGACTAAGGAATAGGATCCCGCTAAACCCGAACACCCCCATCATCTTGGGTCTGAGCACTTCGTATCCTCGTCGCTGCGCTGTGCTGCGGATGGCACATCCACTTTCGGGTTATTGAGGCCACGTACTCCTTGTCGGCGACATTTATATTAATTAGGGCTGCGGCGGGATTGGAGGAGGAGCTCGTCAGGCGGTCATCGCTCGCTAGCTTATCTTAGGTGAGCACCATTTTTATCAGACAGGTCAATGGCAATAATAATAGGGAAGGGCATGCCCATTCAAGGTCCAAGCCCTAGCAACTGCTCTAATCATTCTTCCACATCTTTGATAGTTTGCACAAATGGCAATACTAGAAAGTTTCGGACTATGCGGTGTGATCACTGCAGTAGTGCACGGATGTAACGCTCGCGGGAGCCAAGTCTTTCAATTTTGACATTCGAGATGTCAGAATATTGAATATACTTCTATTTTAATCTGATTATCAGATACAAATCTCTTGAAGGGTGCTACCGTACTAAAGGGCCAGTCTAGCACCCTTTGGGCGTAATGAAGGGTCCGGCTCTCATTAACTGGCAAATAAGGCAAGGTGTAGCCCCGAGACACGAGAGCTTCCAACGCCTTATATGCAAGTAAACAGTCCACCTGGTTACTATTAGGAGATCCCTTTGATCTAGGGTATCTGTCATTCTCCGAATTGGGGAAACGGTGCTTGTGTTGACGATGCCGATCGATGCTGACCCTCGGTACTTCCTCATTAAGCCATACCCTTTGTGCTGGAGAGTTCTTACAAATTGGCTGTGACTTTGTCTAGGGACTTCAGTCGTTTTCTCCAAAACTCTCCTGTCTATATTGATTCGTAATTGGCTAGAAATGCATTCTAGTGGGTGTGGGTGGCTTTGGGATCTCCAAATGGTGGCTTTAGTGTATTTGTATGCAGTAACCTCGGCTTTTTGTCCGATTACCAGATTGGGGATCCCCGCATTTTGCGGTCCTCCGACCTGCATTCAACTTGCGACCTCCCACCTTCTTCACTTCTCCTTGCTAACTTCACTCCTTGACCGCTATTTATACTCTTTACTTATTCTTCTGGTCAATCTGTCTATATAGCCATTGTCTTCTCTTCTCATTGCTCTCTCTGTTATATAGAGCTCCATATAACGCTTTCCCCGCATTATGGTCGCTCCCTCTATCCGCGTGGCCCCTTCGGCCGCCAACAGAGCTCTCAACCTCTTGCGCACCGTGCAATATACTCACCCACCATCATGTCCATGCCATTCGAACCCTAACCACCACCATCATCACCGCACACCCACTTTAGCAGATCATGTCCGTCGCCACATGGCCACACCCGTTGACCCCTCACGGCAGAAGGAGTACGCCTTCGAGATGGCCGCCTCCAGCATCCGATTCGGCCCCGGTGCCACAAAGGAGGTTGGAATGGACTTTGCCAACATGCAGGCAAAGAGAGTATGCATTGTCACAGACCAAAACGTCTCCAAGTTGGACGCTATGAAGCAAGCCGTGGAAGGGTTGAGCCGGGAAGGAATCGAGTTTACTGTGTTCGATAAGGTTCGGGTTGAACCTAAGGATTATTCGTAAGTGGAATCACGTAGACAATTCAGTTAAGTACTAAGTGAATTAGCGTCAAAGAGGCAATTGCTTTCGCAAAGCCATATAACCCTGATGCGTTCCTCGCAGTGGGTAAGTAGCCCACGGTCATCCCTTGAATGGCTAATGACCGCATAGGTGGTGGGTCGGTTATCGATACCGCAAAACTCATGAATCTCTACACGGTCTATCCCGAGGCCGATTTCCTCGACTTTGTTAATGCCCCCCTTGGCAAAGGTCTTCCAGTAGAAAGGAAATTGAAGCCCTTAGTAGCGGTACCAACGACAGCAGGCACTGGGTCAGAGACGACCGGAACGGCCATTTTCGACCTCGTGTCTAAGAAGGCCAAAACCGGTATTGCACACCGGAACCTCAAGCCGACCCTGGGAATTTGTGACCCCCTGAACACGCGCACCATGCCGTCTGCCGTGCACGCCTCCTCCGGTCTAGACGTCCTCTGCCATTCCCTGGAGTCATGGACTGCAATCCCGTACAATGAGCGTACTCCTCGCCCAACCAACCCCATCAATCGTCCCGCGTACCAAGGCGCAAACCCAATTTCCGACATTTTCTCCCTGCAAGCCCTTCGCGACACCGTCAAGTATCTGCCCCGAGCTGTCAAGGACCCCGATGACTTCGAGGCCCAGTCAAAGATGCTTCTGGCCGCTACCTTAGCCGGTGTTGGCTTCGGTAACGCCGGTGTCCATCTCTGTCACGGTATGAGCTATCCCATCTCCAGTCAGAACCCCGGCTACAAACATGCCGGATACGACGTTGAGCACCCGATCATCCCACACGGTGTGTCAGTTGCCGTCACCGCGCCTGCAGTCTTCCGATTCACCGCTGCATCCAACCCAGACCGCCATTTGGCAGCAGCCGAAGCCTTTGGCGTCGACATCTCGAACGTCAAGCGCGAAAGCGCAGGTGAAGTGCTCGGTGAAGCGATTACCAAGTTCTTGGCTGAGCTGGGCGATCAGCCCCGTGGTCTGAAGGATCTCGGATTCAAGTCCTCGGATATTGATTCCCTGGTGGAGGGAACTATCCCACAGAAGCGGGTCCTGATGCTTGCTCCTAATCTCAACGAGGAGCTGGAGGCGGAGAAGATTGAACTGAGAGGCTTGTTAGAACAATCCATGGATTATTAAAAATAGGGGCAGGGGTTTTGTTCTGCTGCATTTATTTTGTCATGTCAATACCAATACAGTTAAATATTCAATATTAGCCTCCATCAAATTCAAATAACCAAGGGATATCAACTTTCATATTAACCATGGATACTAGAAAGGGAGAGATATAGTCCTAAGGATATGCAGTGTATGCACAAATGTTATAGGAATACACAGTAGTTGTAGCGCAACAATAGTAGAAGGGAACCGTTAATCCAAACAAGAGAACCAGCCATCGATGCTACTATGTCAACGACATCAATCGTAGTAAATGCACTACATTTACACAACAAGATCAAAGTAACCTAATACTATGAGAGCGGTAGGTCAACTAAGACGAAAAGAATGGAAGAAGAAGAAGAAGAAGAAGAAGAAATAACAACCGCGTAGTCGTGCCGCGTAGAAGACGTGTATGAAAGAACGCCAAGAACAGGGCAATAATACAGAACGGCATTATTTGTAGAAGCAAAAGCCGGCAAACCAATTAATATTATAAATGACAATCTGCCTTGTGGGGAATGCTTCCTGTATGACGGGCTCATCAACCGTATGGATGGACATGGGGTCTGTTCGACCCGGTAGATTCGGACCACAGAACGATTGTTCGCTCGGGTTATCTCTCAAGGGAGGGATTCTATTATTAGAAGGCAAGGACATCAGATCCGACGATGCAGGGAATTATGTTATATTTGAACTCTCGGAGCTAAAAGGGAACGCTGGGCGATCTTACTCTGCACCTAGGCACGGATACATCATTAACTACGCCAAGAGAAAAGAACAAGAAACCAAGGAGTGCGGGGGAAAAGAAAAGTAAAATTAAGAAGACACATAGGGCGGGAAGTAAGTATATAGAATGAACCGAGGATAGGAGAAAAATGCGTATGACATGTATATCAAGAGCTACGAAGCATATATTCTAGCGTAGAAATACTGCTAGCCTGTATACATCTACCAATCAAAAGAATAACACTGTAAGGCCAGGGAAATGAGGGGAAACAAATCTATACTTCTTTAGTATTGTAACCTTAAGTCTGCAGTTTCACTATGATACATGGCTATTCAGATCCACCAAACCTCCGGATATTTCCTGCTATCGCTCTCGGGTAGGATCAAATGGGCCACTTTAATCATGAATACGACCTCGGACCCTAAATCCTCAACCAAAGATAGAAACCGAACTATACCATATTTGATTTCTATATCTCGTGAAAATCCCCACTAACGCAGGGAAACACGAGCTCATCTTGTCCCCTAAACTAACCGCTAACCCTAAACCCGGGTGATCGACAAGGTAGCAGATTTAAAATAGAATCACCAAGCATTTAAGCACCAACCATATTATTGAGCGGGCTCTAGCGGCTGTACTATATATGTAGTTGCTAGCATGGTACCTATTTGGCACTCGTGAGGATTCATCAATTGTCTGCAAGGAGCGTACGGCTATTGGCTTCCGCCTGCTGTTTAAACGCATATCTGGGCGAAACTATGATTGATCTATGACGCCCTAAACTCGGACCTCTGGGGGCCGTTTTTTCAGCCTCAGATTCTATGTGGTTATTCGCGCTTCAGAGTCGTGTGGAATGAATGAAAATCAGGATGAACAGTGGGGCTCGTCCAATACGATGGGAACAGGCCGTCGGGTAGTGTTGTACGCTGGTTAGGGTTGAGTAAGTGCCAATGAACAGACTGAGTAAAATAGGTTGATTGGCATTTCGAGCTATTGTCATAACTAGTATGGACCGCAGAAGTGTATACGATGGGTCCATTTTGGGACAGTGACATAAATGGAGAGAACGGTCCATCTCCACGAGCCAGACGCTTTTGATGGTTGGTTCCCACTGCGATACTGGCTACCTCCACGATTGTTTAAACAGAGAATGGTCGGAGTCCCTCATAGTACTGCATGTGCACTCTGTCGGGAGCGACGTATTAAGGTGTGTATACTTGATAGCAAGTAATCTCAACGGACATGGGATATCTGACAAGGAAAGTGCGACCAAGCTAAACCACAATGCTCACAATGCCGCAAATACCGTCGTCCGTGCCCAGGATACACGCGATCTTTCCGTTTCCAAGATGAAAGACCAGCCTTGGAGCGTCGGCATCGATCATCCAGGAGCCCAACATCTTCTGCTGCTTCAAGCGAGTCTTATAATCGTGACACAGCACCATTTGCTCGCAATAGCATCATGGCTACAATGGAGCAGGTCCAACAGCAAGTTGCTCCTTCAACTAACGAGCACTGCGAAATCAAGCAACAACAGCCGCTCGCGTTTACGGTATTCATGAATAATGCATTTCCAATATCCCAAGCATACAATAAATTTCGTGAAACAAACTACCCAAACTTCGCACACTACATTACTTCCAAGTTTGATCAAAGCGTCTGTCTTGATACTTCCGCCTACAGCGTGTGCCTTGTATTCCAAAGCCGGGCAGACGTGGAAGCCTCACAGCTAAACAAAGGCCGACACGCATACGTACACGCTCTTAGAGCACTCCAACATGCTTTAAATTCGGATCAAATTTCGAATAAGCCCGAAATGATTGGCACTAGTATCCTGCTCTCCATCTATGAGATGCGTGTGCCGTCCGAGCCACACAATGAATGGTCGAACCATTGCCTCGGCGTTGCGGCCCTAATGAAGGAGATGGGAGCACAGAGCTTTGCCCATGGGTTTGCACGCTCTTGCTATATTTTCTTTCGCGGGTTCCTGATTGCCGTCGCTTTTCACCAACAACAGCCGTGTTTTCTCGAGGAAGACCAGTGGCAGCAACTAGCAGAGAGGATTAGGGTCGAGGACTCACAGAAGCTTGGGATAAGTAGCATATTTGTGGATGTCACGGAGCGCATCTTCATGGAGCTCGTTAAGTGCCCGAGATACGTATATGAAGCACAAGTACACCAGTGCATCCAAAATTACCAACGAGCACTGGTATTGTCTTCCCAAATTCTCGGTGCACAGAACAACCTGAGGTCTCTTGTAACTCAACTGAAGGATCTCATCAGCACCTACCAGCCGGGGGTCATTCCAAGCGCACCAGGATATCTCCTAAAGGGGGCAGAGGATGCTGTTCATTTCTTGGGTACTCTAGCCCGAAGACTTATAATGAACCCCATTCCGCCCTTACATGTTTATTCCGGGCTGACGTGGCTTATTGATAACGTATATATTGCGTACGACGCTCGTTGGCTGGACGAATTCGCTTGTTCAATGGGATTTTTGGGTACTACACTAGTTGATTGAGCTATGAACGCATGGGGTGTCTATCTTTACGCCAATGGATACAATAGGCTTATATGATACGAATTGATGAATGTTACTATTACTACAATAGAAGACCAGCGGTCACAGAGATAAAACGTCTCTAGTAGTAGCATTGGGTCTGCTTCAACTAACAATACTTACTGATAGAAGGTTCATGCCCGGTGATTGATTATATTTGCTGTTACCACAGCGGCATATCATGATGCTACTCAGCTTCTTGGGTCTGATTCCCAGCAAGAAATTTCCCATCGGTCACCGCTTTCGATGTTATTGGTTTCTTCTCATTTCGTACGATGTCTAGAATTCCTATAGATGCAGGATGTGGACCCCGGTCCCCGAGGTTAGTAATTGACAGAACACCTGACCCGCCAAAGTTGCCTCGTGATTAAGGTTCCTGCCTCAGGATCCCACAGATCGGAGAACTTTCCTCCGGGAGTGACTCAATCGCGAGGGCGTTGGCCTCTATTGATGAAATCTCTGTTCGTATCTCTCAAGCAATTCACGTTGATTTGCCTAGAGATTTGTCACTCTTTCCCCAAATAGATTTCTATCTGCATAATTATATAATTAAATACCGATAGAAGTAACTATAGAGATCCACCGTCGTGAAGACCGAGTCATCAGCCAAGCAAAGACGAATTGTCCAAGTTCGGCTGCACGGTGTGTGTCCTCCGCCTGGGATTGGATTCAGACTGTGGACTGATTGATCTTCCGCTTTTTAGTCTGGTGGATATAAATTGACATTCCACCCAGCTTTCTTCTTGCTAGCGATCGTTTAGAGAAGTACGTACAGTACCTTTGACTTGTGCCCGACGCCTTATCGCTACCCCGCTACCCCACGTTTTAAATTCTCGGTCTCCCAACTGACCGGTTCGACCTTAGCATCCATAGACTATAGACGCAAAAATGCCTCCCGTTATTCATTGCGTGCGCCATGCTCAGGTACTTCTGCGACAGCCCTTTCCACACGCTAAACTCACTTTAACACACCAACCAGGGCTTCCACAATCTCTGCACAGAAAACCATGTCATTCGCGACCCCCTCCTCACCGACCTGGGCAATGAACAATGCCGCAAACTCACCGAGAATTTCCCTTTCCATGACAAGATCGATCTCGTAACTGCTTCTCCTCTCCGTCGTACCATCTACACCGCATTGCAGGGTTTCGGACCTGTTTTCGAAGCGCACAAGGACACGAAATTGCTTCTCCTCCCCGACGTGCAAGAAACTAGCGATGTTCCTTGCGACACGGGTAGCGACCCCGTTGATTTGCTAAAGGAAATTGAGGAGAATGGATTGCCTGTTGACCCAACATTGGTGCATGAGGGATGGAACAGCAAGGTTTGTCGATCCATCTTTGAGGGTCACGGTGCTATCCGAACAATGGGATAGAGGGTTAATATGAGACTAGACTGGTCGGTATGCCCCGACTCACGCTGCGATTAGAAAGCGAGCTCGCGAGGCTAGACGGTGGTTGAAGGCGAGACCTGAGAAGGAGATCGTTGTTGTGACCCATGGTGGATTCTTGCATTATTTCACTGAGGATTGGGAAGATAGCAGCCAGTACCAAGGTGAGTTGTTGTCTCTTTTGGACAACCCCAAGAAAGTGAATGGTTAACCATAAACAAGGAACGGCTTGGGTTAACACCGAATACCGTACTTACGAATTCTCGTCTGATGTCCACAAGACTGATGTGGAAGGCCACGAACTTGAGGGCGAGGACGCAACTTTGGTTGAGACTATCTCTTCGCGCGAACGTCGTGGCAAAGAAGGCCCGGCACCTGACCGGGAGACTCAGAAGGCTCTGTACAAGAAAGGAACCCAGGGGTGGGATGACCAGGGCTTGCAATTGAGCACGGCTGAACGTGAAGCGGCCAAGGTTCCAGAGGGCAAAGAAGTTGATGGTGTCCGTGTATGAGCTGTTGGAAATATCCCCTCCCTGTTTGATATCTTTTTTTGTAGATAGTGTTGGATGCTTTGTTCATGGTCTCATATAAAGAAATAGAACGGCTGCGTCCTTGTCATTGTGGCGAAAGAAAAACCTGAAGAGACGATTGGGATGAAATTAAGAAAATTGGAATTCCTAATGCATAATAGAAGTTTTCTCTTCAATTTACATACAATAATGAGCATAATGGCCACTGTAATGAACTGATTGTGATGTACTAAAAGAAATTCGAACAATAGAGAACAAACCCCTAGGCTCTTGATCATGCAATACACAAAAAGCTCTGTCTGTTTGGGCACTTTCGATAGCGGATGTAGACCCCTATGGTCTCACGGTAGGTAAGTAGCCCTAGTCTCACGAGCCTGACTTGCTTTCAGGACGTGTGTCTATCAAACCTAAAAGAGACAAGGAAGTGCGACTGGCCCAGACTACTCGTTGGCGTTATCAAAAAGCCTGGGCATTGATGTGACATTGTTCATAGGTTGTCCATGTACCCCATATCTTAGAAAAACCTTTCACTGATTGAAGTTAGATGAGTCCGGCCACTCGCATACAATCTCGCCCGGACAAGGTTTAAGATAGCCCCAGATATATTCTCGGCTGTTGACGTGTCTTACGCAGATAGAACCCTAGTAGCAGGTGCACACTGATTGAAACAGTCAGAACCAGAATGCATCGATGACCAAGTATCGTTCCGAAGAGTGGGTGGGTGGCCAACGTATTTTCATTTCTCTTTTAACTCCGTCAGACGCAAACATAGATTTCCCCAATTATGACGAATGCGAGCCTTGGCCTAGCTATCGAAATATATTACTGGATTAGGTGATCCCCACATTGGGGGTCGATCACAAATAGAACCTTACGAACAGAAAGCATAGAACCGTCACCCATGAGATCATTTGGCCATGCGAAACCTGATTCAACACGAAGAAATTGAACGATCCACAGCCATTGGATGCGTCAAGATAGATTCTTCAGCATTTATGCTTTGAGTGAAAGCTCAACTCATACTTAGTACCACGCAGTTCAGCTATGGAAATGTGCCTATCATTCGTGTTTGTACGTGGAACTGCGAACACACCTCCATTGGCTGTTTATTAACCAGATTGAACAAAATGCAATGATCTGATAAGTGAAGGTCTATAGATTCCTTCTCTTTTGTGAGCATATTGCACGGACTCTGGTTATGTCGAAACTCGAGGACACACTGTTGTCGTCACAGCAACACTATCGGTGAAACTTTCGTATCCAGGACTTCTCCCATTATCTCAATTGATCTGTCTCAAGGCAGAATCAGACCGACAACCATATTAGCGGCGGAGTCCAGGCGACAGAATTATTAGCGTGTTTGAATGAGATGCTGATCGGCCCTGTGATTCGTCATCACTGCCCATCGCTCGCTCACCGTACAGTGTAATCAGATAGACTGATTCAGTAATTTGGGTGCCTGGTACGTAGTCGTATGCTTCGCCCTCACATAATATGGGGTAATATTGAAAGCTGCGCATCTACAAGGGTAGAATCAACATTGTTTATATAGCTGCCTATCGTTCCACGGCTTCACTACTGTAGGTTCCCGCATATGGGGTCTATTTTTAGCGACGATCGCGTGGCGCAGTGCCCCGGACGGCCTCAGGCAGGAACGCGTGTCGTGCCGCACCATCTCCACTTCAACCCCCTCTTATACCAAGCTTCATGGCATCGATCCAAGGTGCTTGACAGGGCAACCAGGGCATTGAATTGACAATAACAACCACTGAAGTTACTGAAACCGTTACTGACATGAAAAATGCTCGACGAGAACTTGCCCAGTATGTCCACCGGTTAATCGCAGAAGTAGCATGTACATCCCTTCAGGCTCAAGTCCAATACTAACAAACATTCAGCGTTCTTCCTCAAGAAAACCCAACAGAAGTTCCTCTGGACCATCTTACATTCGCACCGTGGTACCGAGCCTGAACCAGCATACACCCTCCGCCACCCCGACCCAGCCTCCCCCTCATCCAAGAACCGCTACGCCGCCGCTCTAGTTGATCCCTACGTCCCGGATATCGTCTATGGCGAGGTTCTACTCATTCCCGAATGGACGCAACCAACGCTTTCCGCAGAGGCTATCCGCCAGAATGGCGGAGTCACCCCACCGCCTGAGCCTATCCTCCCCACCCGCTTTACTGTTCACCTCTACAACCCCGACCAGCAGGTCACTGTGGAATACAAACCGAAGACATGGAATAGTCCAGCGACATGGTCATTCGAAATGCCACAACAATCCTTCCGACAACCCTCAAGCTCGACTCTGGACCGGACACAAACAGACCCTGCGGCGGCAGATACCACGCCCAAACTTCGCTTCAGCTGGCGGAAGGACAGTAAGTTGTCGAAGGACTTGACATGTCTGTTGTCTGGGAAAACTACTGCAGTGTCCGGAACCAAAACAAAGAGCAAGGAGCCGGATATCACAATTTCGATCTTCCAGGCGCTACGTGAGTTGACGCTCTACGAACCAAACTTGTATCGCGTGGAGATGGAGGATTTTAAGGGGTTGGAGGTTGTTCTCTTGCTTGGAGCAGTAACTATTCGCGATGTGTATTTCACTACGATGAGGGACGCTTTCAAAATCGATGCGACGTCGGTTTCCGCCGGTCCTAGTGCTACTATTACTGCTGCTACTGCTGCTACTGCTGCGAACATTTCCAATGGTCATAACACTGCTCCCGCAGCTAGCAAGGATAAACAGCCTGTCTCAGCTGGATCTGGGCCGCTGAATGTCAACACGACGCCATCAATTCCAGAGGAACCAACTGTTGCGAATCCCCCACGACGCAAACGGGAACAAGACAAAGAAGAGGAACGTCGCACCAAGAAACTTCTTGAAGAGGAAGAGAAGGCCCGCCGCAAACGCCAAGCCGAGATCGACAAGGAAACCCGTCGTCTCCAGCAACTTTACGGCGAGGAAGAACAGAGAGTCCGCTTCTCTACTCCGTCGCTTCCACCGCGGCCATTACAATCACCTCCGCCGTCAGAGCGGCCGATTGTTGCCGGACGTGGGGCGCCGGCTCAACGGTACTACCATACTCACCACCATTCACCCTCCGTGCCGCATATCGGACATTCGCCGTACCTCCAGGCCCCTGGGGGCAATCCACACAGGCAGTCGGTAGCATTCCTGCCGACGCAGCCACAACCAGCGGCGGGATCAAAGCCGCAAAAATTGCAGCAGAAGAAGAGTTTCTTCGGCTTCCGGAGGTCATCCTCTGACGAAAACAAACTAGCCAAAAAGCGCAGCTCGATGTTTTGAACATTTTTCTTTATTGAGAAACGAAGTTATGATACCCATGGCGTTGGCGTTTGAGGAAAACAAAAAAAGAAGAAAAGATGTGCTATGTACATAGACTCAAAGCAGTTCTAACCTGGAAATATAAAACCAAGGCAATCCAACTGAATCTATATAAAAGTCTTTCAAAATATATAGTCTTTCCCAACTCTAAGCCAACGGCCTTCCCTCGACACCCTCAGAAGTAATCTTCACCGGCAAGATATTCCCCTGTTCATCAAACTCCATGCGATCAATACAAGTTACCCGATGATCGCGCTCGGTATCATTAACTGGTCGCCGATGATAAACAATATAGTAATCCTTCCCATCCGGGGTAAAAACACTATTATGGCCCGTACTCTGTCCAACGGTATCATCCCCCTGCAGAATCTTGGTCGGTGTACTGGAAAATGGACCCGTCGGCGAAGGCCCGGTAACATAGCTGACCCCGTAAGAATTATCGCCCCATCTGCAATCATCAATCAGCAATCTTACATTTCCAGCCCTAACTCACCATCCCCCATCTCCAAGAAGAAACAACAACAAAAATTAAAAAA